CAATGTACTGATGTGCTGTGGGTAAGTGACCGCACGGACACGCAGTGAAAGTGTGCAGAAGAGTTGCTAAATTCGCCGGAGAAACATCATGGCAAACAGTGTCACTCAAGAGTACATGCAGATCCCAGCCGTCACGCGAGCATATACCACTGCATGCGTCCTGACAACTGCAGCTGTGGTGAGTAAACCAGGCTACAGTATAAGGGATCCTGGATTAACATTGCAATATAAATATAGAAGCATTACATACTGAAGACTGTAAGTCAATATGCCTTCACAATTGTTATTATCTTCCCCACATTCAATGTTCAGTGTAAATGCTTAAAGAACCAACATGAAAAAAATAATTTTGTTCGAGGAGGTATATTTCAATTTCAAGAATATTTATATTTTGTTTATATTATATTTTATATAATCATCTTGTGTGTTTTATTTTTGTGCTGTAACTTTTACTGCGGTGTGACATGAAGCTGCAAACATTATAAATAGCCTCTCAGTTAATGAGGTCCTAAAATGTTATGTATTATTATACAAAATAGCTTGTCACAGTCAACTACCCCCAAAATCACACAAATGAAGAGTAATAGAACTTACAGTTCTAACATCACAGTCTAAAATAGGTTCATTTTTCACGGTCAGCAGAAAACCTTGTGACTTGCTTGACTTTTTTGTTTGTTTGTTTATTACAGCAATTGGAGTTCATTACACCGTTTCAGCTCTATTTTAACCCTGACTTGATATTAAAGAAATACCAGGTCAGTACCCTAATACTGTTAAAACATGTTGCGTTTATGACAACAACTTAACAACAGTATGTAGTCTTTCATTTTGATATACTGTACATTTATTTTTCCTCTCTTCCTTCATGTAGATATGGCGACTGATCACAAACTTCTTGTTTTTTGGACCTCTTGGATTCAGCTTCTTGTTCAACATGATTTTTCTGTATCCTTTTTGATTTGTTGGTCGTCTGTGAGGAAGTGTGCACACAAAAACACATTCACACAGTTTCACAGTGTGTTTGCTTTGCATAACAGCCATTTGGCTCGTGTGCAGCTGTGCTGTAGGACATTGAGTTTATGCCCTTGACTGAGCAGATATCGTTACTGTCGAATGCTGGAGGAAGGCTCCTTCCGTGGTCGAACATCAGATTTTGTCTATATGTTCCTGTTCGGTGGTGTTCTAATGACTGTATCCTTCAGCATTCATCACATTAACAACAGCCAAGCATGCATCTCTTCACCAAACCATGTATCGTGTCATTATCAATGATTACTATCAATGATTACTTAGCTCATGTCTTTTGAAACGTATATGTATACTACCAGTCAGTTCAGTTGGGAAGATTTTTTTATGTTTCTGAAAGAAGTCTCTTATGCTCAGTAAGACAGCATTTATTAGATTACAAATACAGAAAAATCTGAAATATTGTGAAATACTAATATAATTTATTTATATGGAATGACATGATGA